GATTTTTTTTAAATTCGAAAAAATGTAAATATTTCAAAAACGGTGACACTTTTACCTGAAAATTTTTTGTTTATCAGGGAGCTCACCCCCCCACCTACCTTCCCCTAATGTTTGGCACGTTACTTCTGGGACACCCTGTATAGATTATTTTTGCACTAAGGTTCACTTTCTCACGGAACCGCCCAAGTGATAAGTGCTCTTTTTGTATAAACTATGCTAGTAAAAGAATTTAACAACAAATTAGATAAATACTAGTGATAAATAATGTAAAAATGTATTCACGTTTGTTAACATCCCCGCCAAGTTTCATGAGAAAATTCATGACAGTTTTGCCTTAACTCCCGAAACCGATGTAATGTTATAGGAAGTAGTCGAGATATCAAACTTTATTGAGTTAAGGGATTTTAGTGTTTTTGAAATTAATTTAATTTTGTATCAAATAACCGACAAACTGGAATGTATCGGGTATATTCCAAGTCCTACCACAGGCCTTCAGAAGTTTCTCAGCATCGAAACTAATATGGCTGAAATTAAAATAACCGCCGCTCAAGCAACTTCGTCAATAATTGCAACGTTCATATTCGCTGCTAACTAATATTTTAGCATACATTTTATTAACTTTGCATAAGAATTTTGCAAGTACACTTTTAATAACTTTACTTCGGGTCAATATTAACAGAAATTATACGCATACATACATAAATTAATTACATATACGCAAAAAATGCGTCTAATTTAATTTGCTTATCTCGAAATCAATTTCTATTTTTTTCCACATTGTTAAAGTTTTGAGTAAAAAAGTAATTTTCCAATTAAATCCTGTAATTCCGTAACAGCATAGTTCCAACTTTTTTAACAACATAACTGAAACGATTAAACACGAAACTAAAAAGCCAGTAGTTTGGGTACGTACTCCTATCTACAAAAATTTATATAAGACATTTTCATTATTTTATTTTTTTCGTGTTAAAAACACTAAAACTATCAGCGCTACCACAGTAAAGCAAATTTAGCCGTTGCAATCACAATTGCAATCAATTCCACTCAAACACGGACGAACATGTTGGGTATAGGCAGTACGTGGCAATTCACTCCAACCCTGCAAAACCGGCAAGTTGAATGAACGTCCAGTCCTGCTCATTCACTCATCCAACGTTGGTTAGGCGGTCGCAATTGAGCATTGAGCGTTTTGGCGGTATGTTCATTCGTGGCTGAGTGAAAAGACAATTAACGTTGCTCAAATTGTAAGCGAAAGAGGCGGCCGCTACTAGCAAAGCAATGAAAATCCAACAACAAAAACGAACACTGCTTTGGTTGCTTGCTATGTTAGTTTGTATTTCTCTGATAGCAGAGCTCGAAGCGGTGGCATTGTGTTTGCCCCGTCGGCGAATTTTGTTACTCAACGGTTTCAGTTATGATTTTCCACTCAGTATGCATTTGCTAGCTAGAAACATGTGCATATTGCTTTGGCCAATGTTTTTAGCTCGTCGGGCAGTTGCGCTTGAATATTCCAATTGCCGTCGCTGTAACATCGCAGGCCGTGGATATAATGAGAAAAAATATACAGGAATACAAAAATTGGATTCATTATTATAGAAGTTTGTGGGCTCGCTTTGGCGTTGTGTAATCGAGTATATTTTGCCGTGCCTGTCCATCTTTCCGGGTTCTTATCAGCGGTCTAACTGAATGCAAATGAAGCAAGAATTGAAGCTCAAGGCTTATGGTGCGTTTACGTGTTAACTGTGGGCGTACATACATATGTATGTACATATAAGGCACTTAGTGCTCTCAAATTTTATTGAAATATCTGCAACTTTGGCATTGGGCGCCAGAATTTCTCATTTTATTCTGTTGGAACCTAAATTCCAATTTAGAATTTCGGATGCGATTCTCAGTCGTTCACTTGCCCCACTGCCTGTATATTTTTGTGGCAAATTTTTAAATTTCAACCTCGCACTCAGGCCTACGTCAACTGCGTTCTACTCCCAGCTATACACTGCGTCGATCTGATCCGCTCCGCGCTACGTTTAGGTCTGAAGAGCTATGTTTTCTTTTGCTCCCGCATAGGTGGATGTGGTGGTGGTGAGGCACTGAAAGTTGTTTGTTTGCCTTTGCGGCGGTGGTGGTGGCGTTTTGCCTTTATTTTCCACATCATCGTTTTGTGGTGGAGCGAACACAGAGCGACCACAACAGAGCGGCAGAGCAGCTCAACATGAGCGCAATACAGTACTAGTTTTTCGCTGTGCTCGCTCGTCGTCGTCGGCGCCGTGGCTGTTGTCGTTTTGGCTCAGGCCGTTTCAGCGCCTTAATCGTGGCAATCGTTGTTGGGAACATAGTGAACGTAATCGACGTCAGTCAAAATACAACAAACTGGTGTTTTGATGGCGCATTCGTTCGATAGCAACGGTTTGGATTGGAGTAGCAGGCGCGCGCTTTGTTTTATTATCCATTTTATCACCATTTATTGTTATTGGCATTGTGGTGTTTGAACGCTTTATACTGCGAAACTCGCTGGATGGCGGTTAATTCTGTTGTACTCGAGGTATGCGCATTCTAGTTGGTGGCAATAATAACAACAAAAATAAGAACATAAGCAATAGTGATAGCACTAACGACAACGTCAACGACAGCAGCGTTTAGAGGCAGTGACAGCGGTTGAGTTCGTTGAATATTCCCGCTATCAGATCGCTATCACAAGGCTGCGCGGCATATCACATCGCGCCGTTCAGTGCAGTGAGGTAGAGTCGAATTGGAGTATGAAGAGTCGCGGCAGTGACGAGCAAAACTCATCAAAGTTAACGCAAACGGCTGCAGTAGCAACAGCAACAGTCGACGGGTAGACAGTCAGTGAGTTAGTCAGTTGTTCAGTAATTCAGTGCTGCGGCAGTGTTCGTAACGAAATCGCGGTTTGGTGACTTGAACGCAAATAAATTTGATTATTATTATTATTGTCGCTATTACTATTATTATAACGATTATTGTGTTGATTGTGGTTCCTATTTGTAGTATTATGCTGATGACATTTTCATGGCCCGTGCTGGTCGATAGTTTTCGGTGAAAAGTGAATTTTTAAACGCGAATGATAAATTAAAAACTTGAAAAGTTCAAAGTGGACCACAAACGAAATTTAAGTTATTTTCAAAAAAATACAAAAAATCAAATCAAATCAAAAAAATAGTAATCTAAAAATAAAAATGATTTACAGCATCAACAAATTGAGAAAGGCCAACCATATAAAAACTGCGGCGTCANAATTAAAAACTTGAAAAGTTCAAAGTGGACCACAAACGAAATTTAAGTTAATTTCAAAAAAATACAAAAAATCAAATCAAATCAAAAAAATAGTAGGTAATCTAAAAATAAAAATGATTTATAGCATCAACAAATTGAGAAAGGCCAACCATATAAAAACTGCGGCGTCTGTATATAAATAAACTAGTAATAAATTTTAAAATTAATTGTAAGTGATTATCCTCCAAAAAAAGTGGTGAGTTTTTCTCACAAAAGTACGAGGAAGTCCATAAACAACAATAAGCATCACACTGTTTATTTAAAGTTGAACAAGTTAATTTTGATTCAAACCTAATGATTAATCTTGACACTGCTCCAAAAAATCTTGCCCAAAATAAAATATTTTCAAACCTATTACTTGGTATTGAGAACTCTAAAATTTAATTAAAGGAATTTTGTGAAAATTACAAATGGAAACGAAGTATACGAAAAATAAATCAACTAAGTCTTCTTAGTCTACTGAAAGAGAAACGTTTAAAATAAAAATAATAATAATTGCGAGTGCAAAATACATAAAAATAGTTGATAGGCAATCTATGAACCGTAATGTATTTTTAGTGTTGTGAAACCTTGTGAACTTGTGTAGAAAGCAATAGCGCAGGAGTGAAGAGAATTTGAAACGCCCTTTATTGCCAAATGAATTCGTAAAGTGTATACGCCAAACAGACCGATAACTATCATAAGAATATTCAGACATAATCTCCAAAAAAAAGTGCCCCACTTCCCACAACTCCAACCCACTATCAGCCAGTTCATTGGATTTGTCTTTATTTTAAGACTACAACCGCCAAAATTCTTACCACCAGCAACATGAATTCTTACTTCGAGCAAGCTTCGGCGGGCTTTTACGGCCATCCGCATCAGGCCACAGGCATGGCCATGGGCACGGGTGGTCATCATGATCAGACAGCTACAGCGGCTGCGGCCGCCTATCGTGGCTTCCCGCTCTCGTTGGGCATGTCGCCTTATGCCAATCACCATTTACAGCGCACAACACAGGACTCGCCCTACGATGCGAGTATCACTGCAGCTTGCAATAAGATCTACAGTGACGGTGCCTACAAACAGGATTGTCTGAATATCAAGGCCGATTCCGTAGTCAATGGTTACAAGGATATTTGGAATACCAGCGCCAATGGTACCAGTGGTGGCGGCGGTGGTTCTGGTGGAGCTGGTGGCNATCTACAGTGACGGTGCCTACAAACAGGATTGTCTGAATATCAAGGCCGATTCCGTAGTCAATGGTTACAAGGATATTTGGAATACCAGCGCCAATGGTACCAGTGGTGGCGGCGGTGGTTCTGGTGGTTCAGGTGGCGGATCCAACGGATCAAACGCTAATGGACTGAATAATGCCGCTGGCGGTATGCCAGTGCGGCCATCCGCCTGCACTCCAGACTCGCGTGTTGGCGGGTATTTAGACACCTCGGGCGGCAGCCCAGTTAGCCATCGGGGTGGCAGTGGTGGTGGTAGCGGCGGCACGGGAGTTGTTGGTGGCGGCCAAGGTGGCGGTGGTGGGGTTGGAAGCGTAGGTGGTGTTGGTGGTGGTGTGGGCGGCGTTGGCGGCGCAGGCACCGCTTGGAATGCAAATTGCACAATTTCCGGCGCCGCAGCAGCACAGAGCGCTAGCAGTTTACATCAGGCCACCAATCACACATTTTACCCCTGGATGGCTATCGCAGGTAAGTCTCCTTCAATTTGATTTGATAGATTGAAAATTTCGTACAAATATAATGAAGTGGAAACAGTCAAAAATTGTATTGATAGCGTTCCAAATCAATAGCAACAGTTAACTGTAGATTGCTGTTACTCCGATTGTCAGATTTTATAATAGGCACTCGAAACGCCTAAGGCACCAAAGATTTAACATGACTGGGAATCAATTACTTCGTCACTGTTGCTTTGTTCAACCCTTCTCTGAGTAATGAATTTGTTTTAACTGGTTACGCAACGTCTGCTGACTGCAATCAACTATGTCCATACTTACATATGTGCATACATAAATAGCATACAAGCTTTGCTTCAAGCGTGACAGGTGAAGAACGATGGTACAACCGTTTACAACTACTGTAGTATGCGCAATCCATTTGCAGAATGATCTTTCGATTGTTCGCTTAGGAAGTTTTAGTTGTATCTATATTTAGTGGGTGCGTTGATAGCTTCTGCTGCCTAAAGAAAATTCTCTGGCCGCATGCAGGTAGCGCTTAAGCCGATATAAGAAAGAGTTGAGTTATGAATAATGTGACCAACCGTACTTCTTTCGGAAGTACAGTTCTTCTTTTTGAGTCGTTGTACTTCGTACTTCGAAGTAGAGCATCTTATTTGATTTTTTTTCAAATTATTCGTTTTCTAAAATGTTAAATATTTTTAATTTATTCTCACAAAAAATATTNATAATGTGACCAACCGTACTTCTTTCGGAAGTACAGTTCTTCTTTTTGAGCCGTTGTACTTCGTACTTCGAAGTAGAGCATCTTATTTGATTTTTTTTTCAAATTATTCGTTTTCTAAAATGTTAAATATTTTTAATTTATTCTCACAAAAAATATAAATTGTCAAAATCTTTTCGCATGTGAAACTTTTTCCCATACAAAACAAGCGATTGAAAAGAAACCTTTGGGGCGTTCAACTAACTCCGCAGCACAAACGCTGGGCCTTGCATATGATAGATCAATGCTTCGAGAAGCAAACAAAATTTACTAAGAAAGCAAGTCGCACAAATTTTTTTTTCAAATTTAATTTTTAATTTTCACCTAAAATCAGAACTGTTTTTGACACTTTAGATAAGAAAAGCAACACTCTAATACCTGTTTGATATGCCTTGGTATTACCTTTTAAGTTGAAATTTCTTTAACTGTTTCAAAAAATTTCGAAAGGTTAGTCATCTCAGTTAAGGAATATACTCATATAGATCGTCATATAAATTATGACTTTCAATCACTTAACTTCTCTAGCTGACAAATTTCATTATAAATGGCTTACGGTTGCCAGACGTACTGATTTTATCAGTACAGTACTGATTTTTCAACTCCTGTACTGATTTTATTCATTTCTTCAATCAGTACGCCAATGTCCTGATTTTTCAAAATTTGTGCTGATTTGTACTGAATTTTCTATTCAAACAAAATACTTTAGTATTTTCTTAAGGTTTTTACACAACGTTGGAACTTCCTTAAACTGTACTGTAAAAAATAAGAAGAAAATAATTTAATTATAGTTGACATGTTTTAGATAATGTTTTGTTTGATATGCCCAAGAAATTAATACAACAAAAGGATCAATCGTTTTATGGGCATATCGCCGGGTCGTTACGTACCAGTTGCGATAATATGATGGAGCTTACATTATTTAAAAAGAAGGCTTAAATTTTTCTCGAGTGTTGANGAAGCAAACAAAATTTACTAAGAAAGCAAGTCGCACAAATTTTTTTTTCAAATTTAATTTTTAATTTTCACCTAAAATCAGAACTGTTTTTGACACTTTAGATAAGAAAAGCAACACTCTAATACCTGTTTGATATGCCTTGGTATTACCTTTTAAGTTGAAATTTCTTTAACTGTTTCAAAAAATTTCGAAAGGTTAGTCATCTCAGTTAAGGAATATACTCATATAGATCGTCATATAAATTATGACTTTCAATCACTTAACTTCTCTAGCTGACAAATTTCATTATAAATGGCTTACGGTTGCCAGACGTACTGATTTTATCAGTACAGTACTGATTTTTCAACTCCTGTACTGATTTTATTCATTTCTTCAATCAGTACGCCAATGTCCTGATTTTTCAAAATTTGTGCTGATTTGTACTGAATTTTCTATTCAAACAAAATACTTTAGTATTTTCTTAAGGTTTTTACACAACGTTGGAACTTCCTTAAACTGCACTGTAAAAAATAAGAAGAAAATAATTTAATTATAGTTGACATGTTTTAGATAATGTTTTGTTTGATATGCCCAAGAAATTAATATAACAAAAGGATCAATCGTTTTATGGGCATATCGCCGGGTCGTTACGTACCAGTTGCGATAATATGATGGAGCCTACATTATTTAAAAAGAAGGCTTAAATTTTTCTCGAGTGTTGATAATTATCTCGAAAATAACTTTCAGTTTAATAACAATGAATTTCAATATTCGAATGGCTTTTGCCTATAACCTACATGTCCTTTTTCTTAATTTCCTGACTGTAAAAGAGTTTTGCATACAAGCNTTTTAAGTTGAAATTTCTTTAACTGTTTCAAAAAATTTCAAAAGGTTAGTCATCTCAGTTAAGGAAGATACTCATATAGATCGTCATATAAATTATGACTTTCAATCACTTAACTTCTCTAGCTGACAAATTTCATTATAAATGGCTTACGGTTGCCAGACGTACTGATTTTATCAGTACAGTACTGATTTTTCAACTCCTGTACTGATTTTATTCATTTCTTCAATCAGTACGCCAATGTCCTGATTTTTCAAAATTTGTGCTGATTTGTACTGAATTTTCTATTCAAACAAAATACTTTAGTATTTTCTTAAGGTTTTTACACAACGTTGGAACTTCCTTAAACTGTACTGTAAAAAATAAGAAGAAAATAATTTAATTATAGTTGACATGTTTTAGATAATGTTTTGTTTGATATGCCCAAGAAATTAATACAACAAAAGGATCAATCGTTTTATGGGCATATCGCCGGGTCGTTACGTACCAGTTGCGATAATATGATGGAGCTTACATTATTTAAAAAGAAGGCTTAAATTTTTCTCGAGTGTTGATAATTATCTCGAAAATAACTTTCAGTTTAATAACAATAAATTTCAATATTCGAATGGCTTTTGCCTATAACCTACATGTCCTTTTTCTTAATTTCCTGACTGTAAAAGAGTTTTGCATACAAGCCATAGAGTTAGATACTCCTTTTAGCGAATTCTTAGTCTTTCACAGTTTTTGCGTAGTTGAAAAATTATTTAGGCCATGAGGAAATATAGATAACCTCCTTAAAACGTGGTACTTTTTTACAGTATGAGAGGATCTTAAGAATAAAGTTTGTTTCCTGGCGCAAAGAGAGAAACCGGCTTCTAATTAAAATTTTTGGAAGTGAACTTCAAATTAAAAGTAATTTTAAAATGAAATGTATAGAATTCTTTGACTATTTAAACACTGAATATGGAAATGATCTCATTATTTCTATTCAAAAATGTCATATATATAAAATAATTTGATGATGTGTACATTCATGTTAAAATGAATAACATTTTTTTATTTTATGAACTAGTAGTGAACCCGTATGGCGTTTTTATTTAAATTTTTTTTTATAAAAAAAAGTTTTTTTTCCTTTTAAATGTTTTTTCTCAGATTTATACATACGAAGTATACAAATAACATATCAAAAGAAAGCGGGTTTAATCACGTTTACGACGATATTAATTTTTTCAAATCAGTTCAAACTTGTTTGAAATATAAGGTTTTTAATTTTTCGAAGACCCGACCTTTGACCCCTTATAGCACTTGTAACATAGAAAAAGTTATATATCGTTTAAATAAGAGAAATGGGCGCACCACGACTATGTTTTTAATTTTTTAGTAGTTCACATACAGTAATTAAAAATAATTTTTTACCAAAGGTCCAATTTCGAACTTCGAACGGGGAAATTACTTTTTTAACTAGGACCCAATCTTTTAAAAAAGTTGGTTTGGTCCAATACCCAGAAAAAAGTTGATTTTGTCGTACTGTGCTATCCAAAAAGACACAAATATAAAATAATTTATTGGCTCCTGTGTATGATGTGTATGAATAACACTTTTATTTTTTATGAACTATATTTTATTTATGTACCAAAATATTGTTAAAAACAAGAACTCAGGCGTTTTAAATTATTTTCTGTTACTTACATTCATAATTTTGCTTTGAATAAAAATGTACTGAAAAGTACTGATTTTTTTAGCATGAAAAAGTCTAATGTACTGATTTCGCGCATGTAAAATCTGGCAACCCTAAAATGGCTACTCAATAAAGAAAAATTAAAAGGTGTTTGGGAGTTTAAAAATTCTGTGGCGAATCTTACTTGCTCGTGTGGATATTCAGAAACGACAGTATCGATGCCATTGTGAATATTTTCTTATCGGGACATATTAACCTTATTAACTATCGTACAGTGCTTATTTTTTGGACACGAAATTGCTCAATCCTTCAAATGGTTTTGATTACTTACACCAGGCTTAGGTTGAACGACCCGGTCGACTAAATTTACATTTCGCAAAATAGACTCTTACTGAACTTATCTTAATTTTTGAGTCTGGGGAGAGGTCTCGATCTTCTCTAACCCACAAAAGAAGTTTGAAATAATCTCACATTTATTTAAAACAGTTCGTTGTCAATGATTTTTTAAGTTTCCCACCATTTTAAAACCATATACATATGTAAAATTTAAAACAAAAAAATTGAATTGTTCAAAAATATTGTTCCCAGCATACCATAAGGGGCTTTACGGTTTTTCAAAATGTTCTTAAATTTTTTTTATAATTGATAAGGATTAGAGTATTTTCATCATGATTTACATATTATTCAGTAAAACACATAAAAACAGAATGTCCTGAATTAAATCGAAAAATATTTTTTATCTTGTTTAAAATACGTTCCTTTTAGGTTTGGAACCACTTTCCGCCCGCTCTATGGAACTCTTTTCAAATCCATCA